GGTGCTGCTGGGGGGCGGCCAGGGATCACAGAGAGGGCCGGCATCTTATGCAAGCCTTACGCAAGCCATAAACTCTACAACGTAGGGCTTGTTCCTGGTTTTATTAACCTTAACCTGTGCTTACTACTTTAACCTTACACCCAACCCTAACCCCCGCCTAACTGCAGGCTCTAAGCTTGAAGCAGAACATAAGCCGTCACCCTAACCAACCTACGCCCCAAACCCTCCCTAAGCTCTTGCCGGCTCGAAGCCTTATAATCTTATAGCTCTTTTACCTTAAACCCTAAACCCCAAACTCAAAAGCTGAAGCTAAACCCTAGACCCCAAAACCCCCACACTACAAAGAGGGTACCGGGGCGAGGGCATGGGCGCCTGACCATATATGTGCATACACGTGTGCGGACATGCATGCATGCACACACTCACACACACCTGCATGGATCTGCATTGCACAAACGCAGCGAGACCAGATGTGAGAAGTGATCTGAATCATTCGAGTCTGCGCATATGCTAATGCGCACCCAGCCGTATGTACATATGTATGCATGCATGCATGTGTATATATGTATCTGTGTGTGTGGGTGTTCTTGTACATGTGTAATATGTACTTTATGTATATGTATGTGTAGATGCAGATGCAGATGTCTATCTATTTGTGCATGTGTTTTCTATGGATGCCTGGATGGATTCATTGATGCACCCACAGGCATATACACATGCATATGTCTGGGTACATGCATGTGCACGTGCATGTGCCGAGGCATATGCATGTGTATGGATGTCTACGAACGTCTATGCATGTGCATGTCCGTACATGCATGTGCGTTGTCTGTGCATGTGCATGAACGTCCATGTGCATGCGTGTGTGTGCACGCGTATATGTGTGGATATGGATGTGTCGTTGTGTGTATATGTGCATGCGGATGCATGAATGTGCGTACGACTGTACGTGTGTATATGTGTATATATGTACGTTACATGTGTATATATGTATGTTCATATATGCGTATAAGTGTATGTCGTATGTACGTGCAGACATACTTGCATACACAAACACATATGTGTGTGTGTTGCGGTATGTGGCATGTATGTGTGTATGTATGTATTTATGTAAGTATGCATGCAGTTATTTGTGCATGTATGTGTGGATGGGGATGTGGCTGTTCCTCTGTGTGTGTGTGTATGTACTTGTGTTTGTGCCCGTGCGTGCATGCTCGCACTTGCATCATGCAGTGTGTGCATGTCTTTGCCATGCGGGCAGCCGAGGGTTGTTGACAAGAATTCGGGTGAATGCATCTACCTATTTATGTATGCATGCATGCATAATCGTGTCAGGAGGTGAATGTACCTGTTCATCTAGGTAGGCATACATACATGGTTGGGCGAAGTCGGAGTCCTCGTGTGTCAGCAAGTGTGTGTACAGAGACAGAATCGAAAATGTAGTCATGTTCACAAGTCCTCGACCCAACACCCAATACATTGTCAATTCATGCTTACCTTGAAACGAACCAGATGAAATGGTCGCCTCCAGTCCCCAAGCACAGAAAACTAGAGAGCGACACGACTCGGACATCACCTCTCCCAATCTCTAGAAAAATACTTCCCACAGGCATATTTGCATTTGACACAAAGGGGACGACGCACCCCGGGGATTCGCTGCAGGCGCTCCATGAGGCGCCGCTTCTTCTCGTTCAGGAGGTAGTACCTCAGAGGTTGGGCTTGGGCGAAACATGGCGGAGCAGAAGCAGTAGGGAACGCGGAAAGGCATGGCTTTCCACATCTTTCCATCCGAGAATCTAGAACCACCAAGAATCCACAGGTGCCCCCTGGGGCTGTTGCGTTGTAGTCACGTGGTTGTGCTTGTTGAGCTGCAAGCATCGGACCTAAGGTCGGCCCGCGACTGATTTCCGACTACAGATACACTGAAAGATGGCAAAAAACTCGCACGGATCTCGGCGACGGACAGCATATTCTCGCGGAAAGCCAAATGCATCCAGATCCGTCAGCACATCCTGAACCGCGTGTTTTGCAGCAAGCAAGAAGTGCAGTGCGGAGGCAGTGCAGTATCCAGAGAAAGCAAATGCTGAACGCTGAACCCGTAGGCCGTCCAGACTCACTTGCAGCAGCTGTTCCCATTTTCCAGGCTCGTGTTTTGACGCCCGGAGCATGCGCTCATGGTCGACTGACTTTAGTCGTCCAGTAGTCACGTGCTAACCCATGTCTCCCACCGACATACCGCTTTGGCGGGGGTCTGAGCACGATCTGCTTTTGAGCCGCGAGGGTTTGTCCCAACCGAAAGGAACGAACGAGGAAGTCCAGCTGTGAGGATCTCCCGTCGTGGTTGCAACATCGTTAGCGATGCTGGTGCATCTGGTGCAACTGCCTTGTACAACCACCGGAGAACCTGCAAGCTAACCTGCTCAGTCCATCTCTTCCATCTGCGTTGTCTGCGCTGCATCTGAGGATAGGCCTGCGGCAGAGGCCGTGAAGGACAATGGTTCACTGTAATGCCCACTGACTCAGCAAAACATCGTGTTGACACATCCCGATTATTGAACCTGTGTTGTTCAAGGGTCTACACTCATGAGGCCTTCTCCCCCCTCGCCAGTGTCAGGCTCGTCGGCTTGGACTGTGGCCCTCTGTGCCTCGTCGAAGGCCTCCAAGCTTCCACATTTCTGCAAAAGCATCGCTACTGACAGCCTGCAGTACTTCGAATGCATACGAATAATTCCAACTTGTCTCAGCCTGTCTTGAAAGTTTTATCACACAAACATGTTAAAGTTCCTCAAACTTTCCATGGGTCGTCGCTGCTGGCTCTGCGTGCTTTGCTTGATGATATTATGCTCCGGTCGTACTAATTAATGTTTCACCTTTCTGTTGCTGTGGCTGTATCTGTCCGCAACCTCTTGTCTCTGTAGATGTTGTTGTTTTATGCAACCGTACAAACATCTGCATGGTATATATCTGTCGCAAGATCATGCTGACACCCTACCCCTGGAGCTTATCTACCCTCCTGCGACTCGGCTATTCGAAAGGACGTGCTTGGGATACAGAATCTGTTCAAGTAATTTGATGACTCTAGCATACGAGATGCACTTGCTTGGGGTGAGGAAGCCATTTCCGCCTCCAGCTCCCGTAGCTCCTCTCGCAGAGGAGCCGCAAAGCCCTGGCAGGAAAGCCAGAAAAAGTCAAGAACTGGAGGTGTGGACAGCCTCCGGGCTGTACTTGATTTTCTCAATGTGCCAAACTCCCCACAACCAATTGTACATCAGCAACATCATCACCATGGTACGAAGAAGGAGAAGTGAAATCGATTGCACACCTATGCTGATACCGTCTCTCCCTGGCGGCCCACTCTTTGTGTCGTATGATGCATGGCGTTTCCTCCAGCTCGCCGCCGGCACGGCCAGCACGCCTGGGCAAGATCAAGCCCTTTGGGACAGAATTGAGGGCTGCATGCAAGCCTGAGTCCTTGGCAACCAATTCAAGCGTACCGACCGCTGGGCTGCCTCATTCGTGTTTTGCAGAGACATTCAGAAACCGCAAGAAACACTAGTCTACCCCTGCGCAGCCTCTCCATGCTTGCGGCTGCGCTCTGCTGCCATCGCATATTTCCTGCACACGCTTACCAGACAACTTTCTCGGAAAGATGAATAGATCTTGATGTCTGAAGCTACGGGAAGAAGTTCCTACTGCTCTACTCGTGATGCAAGGTCGCATGATGTCGCATGGTCAAGCGCGCCAGGAGTACTGCGAGCGCTTCATGGCCTGTCGAGACTGGTCTTCCGCATTCATCGTGATCAACCCCTGCACAACTCCAATGCATCTCCCCTTCCAAGCCTTTGATCGAAAGGCATCGAAGTCCGTGAAGGTAGCATCAGGTGGTGCTGGACCTGCAGCAGCACAGCTCTGCTGGTTTGTCGGTTGTGGCTTGATGGTGTATGTCGGGTCCCAGGTCTTTGCTTGGCGGAATGGAGTTTACCGGCCGTGCAGTCAGCCGACTGCTACAAACGGCCGAGAAGAGGTACGACGAACACCGAATCTTCACGGAAAGCAGCTGCACGAATGCAAACGAACCCTACTCCCACGTCGAATGCTTGGTTTGCAAAGCCCAGCTCAGCTCAACGACCCCGACAAAACACTTTCTGCCCAGCTGCCTTCATCCGCCTCCAAGCGAGCTTGACGCGCTCGAGCTGCCTGCAGAGTCTGCAGATGGCACTGCACCCATGTGTGATTCGACCAACAGAAACCATTTGCGGAACCTTCGATAATGCTTTGACATCAGACACCCCAAAATGCGGCTGATCCCGAAGCGTCAATTTTCGCTTCCATCGAGATCTTCAACACTCCTTGGCAAGTGTCTGGAAACTCCTTCTGAGACTGCCTGGGCAGCCTCGGCCGAGATGTCCGTCATGTGGGACACAGTGTCTAAATCCTTTCGGGTGTCACTTCGTTGCTCTTTCCGCTGATTTGGCTTGATGGGTTCCGGGCAATCTGGGTTCGAGAATGCTGTCTAGACCTATGCACAGGGACAGGTTTCCGCAAGTGGTAGTAGTGGTTGTCCTAATGAGTTGCACTGATGATTGCAGCAAGCTTGTTCTTGGCTATCTCTCAGTAGTCTCAGTAGTGTCACAAGGTCCAGACATGATGGAGCCTCTCGTCTTGCATATGATACCAAACTGCTAGACTCCTAGACTTCATCTCACACAACGTTTCCTCCAGCCGGGCTCGGTGCTGCGTGTTATCATCTTGATGTAGTGCTTGCATGCAAACAAGCACGACTAAGCACCAGTAGCGATACTGCGAGTATCTGTGGATACAGATCATGGGGATAGGGAAAAGGAGGCTGTTGATGAATGTGGTCATACACTTCTACGGTCTACGCACAACATCGACCGTGAAAAATTGTGACATGATCTGCAGCCATGAGACGGCCATGGGAGGCATTCTCGAAGGCATTTCAGCCTGCATGGCTCAGAAATCACCGACTATGCACAACATCATGCAGAGCCCTAAAGCCCAGAAAGCCCATCCTAAACCCTAGACTAACCCGAGCAAAAGGCCACAGGCTGCAAAGAAACATTTCAGGTCCAGGTCGCGGGAGCAACCCCCATACGACCCCAAGCTCAAGGCCCTCCAAAGGGGCATAGGACCGACACCAGACCACCGGACTGCCGAGGAAGCCCCGAAGGCCTCGACGACGGGATCGGGCTTGTTCTCCGCGAAACCCGAGAGCCCCGCCTTGGCATCCGAAGAACAGCGCCGCCACTCGGCACAGTGGCATCATGATATATCATGATTCTATACCATCTGTATGCCAGTTCTATATCTTTGTCGTGAGCGCTCTTGTGCTCCATCCTGTCGTCACATGCAAGGTCACAGCAAGAGGAGGCTGTGGGGACTGTAGGATGGCTCATAAACCCCTCAAGGCATCCCGACACTCATGGAGAGATCTTCAAGAGCACAGAAGTCCGCAAACCTAGTCCAGCGTCAGGGACTTTGACCTACAAATCCGGAACCTGGCGCTAAAGATCTTGGAGCGAGTGGCACTCATTCGCTGTGCCAGGAGCTTCTGTGCCTCGGCGTCCTCTCGCTTCGCCCGGAGCGCCTGCGGGGTCTTCAGACGGTACAGCGCTTTCTTGTCGGCTGAAACGTGGCAGCACCCTTGCCTGGGCCTTCTCCTCCGCTTGCACCTTCTGAAGCAGGCGCACCGCCTCCACGAACTATGCAGGAAAAGTGGCACGAATCGGCAAAACGTGCGCGAAAGCGCTACCCGACATTCCCAGTGTGACAGCTTACAGCCCTCAACTACCCAGCACCCAAATCGCATGCAGACCTCCATTCTTTGCCCTCCCCTCCAAGCGAGAAGTGCAGTCGGCAGTATCGGAGCCCGGCCCGAGGCAACAAGCGTTGCTCCTGAAATTGAACTAGGAGAAACTCCACAAGCCCCCGTTGTAGGCTTGCAGAAGATTACATGACATGTGGAAGCCTCCGGCAGTGGCGGGTCCAGCAACGGCTCCAGCAGCGTCCGCGCCTCCTCGTAGCGCTGGAGCCTCACACTCTGAAAGCGTAGCCTATGCTTCTCTGCGTTGGAGCCTTCACGACCTCATGGCACCAAACCAGCGGCAGGGTCTTAGACGGAGGATTTTGCTCGGAAGCGGGTTCGCGCTCTTCCTCATCCCATGCCTCAGTGTGGCTTCGGCGGCCCGGAAGCGCGCTTTGGCGCTGGCCGGATCGGCAAACAGGACCACCTCGAGAGTCTCGCTATGCTCGGTCCTTCCTGAAGGCCACAGCTGTGCGGCCTTGCAGGCCCGCAGCGCTTTCTCCGCATCCCCGAGCTTCAGGTAGCCCTGTGCCTCTGAAGGCTGAAGCCGCTGAAAAAGCCATGGCCGCTGTATGGCGCTGGAGCTAAGACGAAGGCCAGGTTCAGATAGATCGATCGCTCCAAGGTCGTGGACTCCTTCTCAGCTCGGGCAAGGTCGGAGACTTGTGCAATTGAGCACTTGTAAGGCATTGACCCGGAATCGCCTGAAAAAAACTAAGACCCGATTCTTGCTGTGCAGAGCGCCTCGTCGAAAGCTTTTCCAGCTTCCAGCTCCTGCGGAGCTCTACTTCGGGGGCTCCGATCGCAAGCCTTCTCCGTGGAAGTCTGTTGAACTGAAAAGCTCTGCGCAGCTTGGTGCACTGCACAGCAATACTGCATATAATCACCCCTTAAACTCGGAATACACTCATGCAGGACAGGCCTGCACGTGACGGCGAATGGCCAAATTCCAGAGGCGAACTGCCTCCTCCAGAATAGCAAAGAGCAATCGGTAACAGAGACACTTTGCGATGGCCCTTACTTGCACATGCCGGTTCTGGGTCTTGGCCTGACAGCCTCTAGTTTCAAGTTAGCTCTTTTGATGTGGCCGCTTGCTGCTTGCTTCACGTCCGGATGTTTCGATAGGCGCTCTTCCATGCCATGCTGCTCAAGTCCAACCAGCTGTGTGGGCGTGCTCTGCCCTGTTGTCGTGGGCGTCAGAGGCTTGCACGTGCAAAATGTCCCTTGCACGATGAGCATGTTCTTGTCGGTTACTTTTTCCGTATTCAAGCTCTGCTGACGGCTCTCGCCAGCGTCAGACGATTGCACCTAA